CTCCTGGCCTCGAGCGAGCCTCCCGCCTCGGCCTCCCTCCCGAGTAGCTGGGACGACGGGCGTGCGCCTCCACGCCCGGCTCGTTTTTTTCTATATATATTTTTAGTTGGCCAATTAATTTCTTCCTATTTTTAGTAGAGACGGGGTCTCGCTCTTGCTCAGGCTGGTTTCAAACTCCCGGCCTCGAGTGATCCTCCCTCCTCGGCCTCCCTCCGGAATGCTATAGTGCCCAGCTCATTTTTTTATGTATTTGTGTCTTTAGTTGTCCAGCTAATTTCTTTCTTTTTCTTTTTTAGTAGAGACGGGGTCTCGCTCTTGCTCAGGCTGGCCTCCGACTCCCGACCTCGAGTGAGCGAGCCTCCCTCCTCGGCCTCCCAGAGCGCTGGGACGACAGGCGTGAGCCTCCGCGCCCGGCTCATTTTTTTTTTTCTATATATTTTTAGTTATCCAGCTCATTTCTTTCTATTTTTGGTAGAGACGGGGTCTCGCTCTTGCTCAGGCTGGCCTCCAACTCCCGACCTCGAGCGAGCCTCCCTCCTCGGCCTCCCTCCCAAGTAGCTGGGACTACAGGCGTGCGCCACCACGCCCGGCTCGTTTTTTCTATATATATTAGTTGTTTGGCTAATTTCTTTCAATTTTTTCTTAGTAGAGACGGGGTCTCGCTCTTGCTCAGGCCGGCCTCGACCTCCTGACCTCGAGCGATCCTCCCGCCTCGGCCTCCCTCCCGAGTAGCTGGGACGACAGGCATGCGCCTCCACACCCGGCCCAGGCCGTCTGTTAACTGGAATATTCACCCATTTAACCCTCGCCACTTGGAAAGAATCAGATATCCCAGCACTCTGGGAGGCCGAGGCGGGAGGCTCGCTCGAGGTCAGGAGGTCGAGGCCAGCCTGAGCAAGAGCGAGACCCCGTCTCTACTAAAAAAATAGAAAAAAAATTAATTGAGCAACTAAAAACATATAGAAAGAAAAATATTAGCCGGGCGTGGAGGCGCACGCCTGTAGCCCCAGCTACTCGGGAGGGAGGCCGAGGCGGGAGGCTCGCTCGAGGCCAGGGGTTCGAGGCCAGCCTGAGCCCAAGAGCGAGACCCCGTCTCCACTAAAAAAAAATAAGAAATAAATGCACTGGACAACTAAAAATATACAGAAAAAAACCGAGCCGGGCGCGGAGGCTCACGCCTGTCGTCCCAGCACTCAGGGAGGCCAAGGCAGGAGGATCGCTCGAGGCCAGGAGTTAGAGGCCAGCCTGAGCAAGAGCGAGACCCCGTCTCTACCAAAAAAATAGAAAAAAAATTAATTGAGCAACTAAAAAAAAAAATATATATATATATATAAAAAACGAGCCGGGCGTGGAGGCGCGTGCCTGTCGTCCCAGCCACTCGGGAGGGAGGCCGAGGCGGGAGGCCCATCGCTCGAGGCCAGGAGTCGGGGGCCGCCGTGAGCGATTTTGACGCCCCGGCGCTCACCCCAAAAAAAATAAAAAATACCACCACGCTCACAAGTGCCTTTCCTAACCTGGGGTAAACCGAGGCACGGAGAGGTGACGTCCCCCCCGCCCCCTGCCTGCCTGGGCTGACAGAGCCACCAGGAGCGGCGGAGGCCGGGCCGGGGAGGCAGGGGGGCGAGGCCCGGCCTTGTTTTGCAGAACCGGGAGAAAGACCCTCCCCGGGGAGAGACAGACAGAGAGCCGGAGTCCGGAATTTTCCGTGACTTTTCTTCCCCACCCCCGGGGGGGAAAGCCTCGTGGGAGAGGCCGGGGAGAGGCCGGCGCGGGGCGGACTTGGCCCCGCGGGGACCCGGTATTTTTCCAGCCTTTCGCCCGGGGGGGAAAATTCCGTCCCGAAAGCCTCCGGCCCCGAAAGCCTCCGGCCCGTGGTGGCGCCTGGATCGAACCCTTCCTGAACCCCACCATCCCCCCTGCGACCTCAGGGCACGGGCCCGGCCAGCCTCGGCCTCCGCCTCGGCCTCCGCCTCGGCCACCCCGGGCGTCAGGACGTTACCCGGCACCCCGCCGGCCGTGTGACCCCGGGCAGGTCAACCAGCCTCTCTGGGCCTCGGTTTCCCCGCCCGGGGAAACGGGGCGGGAGAGGTCGCGGTGAGAGGGTTCGGCGGGGTCACGGAGGCCGGGCGCCGGGGAGGCTCGGGCCTGTCGTGCCGGCACTCTGGGAGGGGGAGGCCGAGGAGGGAGGATGGGTCCGAGGGGGTCGGGAGGTGGAGGCCGGACTCCGTGAGCAAGAGCGAGGCCCCGTCTCTACCAAAAATAGGAAGAAATGAATTGCCCAACTAAAAATATATAGAAAAACTGAGCCGGGCGTGGAGGCTCACGCCTGTCGTCCCAGCTACTCGGGAGGGAGGCCGAGGCGGGAGGCTCGCTCGAGGCCGGGAGTTGGAGGCCAGCCTGAGCAAGAGCGAGACCCCGTCTCTACTAAAAAAAAAAAAAAAGAAAAAGAAAAATAGAAAGAAATTCATTGGCCAGCTAAAAGTATATAGGAAAACTGTCATCCCAGCACTCTGGGAGGCCGAGGAGGGAGGCTCGCTTGAGGCCGAAAGCTGGAGGCCGGCCTGAGCAAGAGCGAGACCCCGTCTCTGCTAAAAAAAAAAAAAAAAAAATAGAAATAAATGAATTGCCCAACTAAAAAAAATATACAGAAAAAACGAGCCGGGCGCGGAGGCTCGCGCCTGTCGTCCCAGCTACTCGGGAGGGAGGCCGAGGAGGGAGGCTCGCTCGAGGCCGGGAGCTCAAAACCGGCCCGAGCGAGAGCGAGACCCCGTCTCTACCATAAAAAAAACAAACAAACAAAAAAAACTAGAAAAGAAATGGGCCGCACGACTCAAAAAAATATATAGAGAGAGAGAAAAAAAAAAAAAGCGAATAAAACCGCACGGAGTCCTCACTTGTGGAGTCCCGGAGGCTGGAGCGGAGGCCCTGAGCCTCGCAAAGGCCGTCGCCCGGGCGACAGCTGCCGTGGCAACGGGGGCCAGCACGCAGGGGGAGGCCCCGTGTGTCTGTCTGCCTGTTGGCTGTGAGCCCGGCCTTGGACGGAGGCCAGGGCTGGAGGCCAGTAGAGGCCGGCGGGCGGGCGGCGGCCTCTCAGCGGGGTCTCCCCTCAGGAAATCCTCCCGGCCTGTGTCCGCCGTCCCGGCCTCTCCCCCGGGGGCTGGCCCGGGGCCTCGCTATTGTTCCCGGAACCCCGCCCGCCTCCCCAAGGGAGGCCCCCAGCCTCTGCCAACAGACAGGGTGGAGGCTTTCGCCTGGCGGGAGGCCCGGGGCGGCCTCCAGACGGTCACGTCCCCACCGGGGCGGCTTTAGACCGGCTCGCTGAGGCCCTGCCGCCCCTCGTCCCGGCTACTCTGGGAGGGAGGCCGAGGAGGGAGGCTCGCTCGAGGCCAGGAGTTGGAGGCCGGCCTGAGCGAGAGCGAGACCCCCCCTTGTCTGTTTTTAAAAAATCGGCCAAGTAAAAAATAGAGAGAAAAGAAACGAGCCGGGCGTGGAGGCTCACGCCTGTAGCCCCAGCTACTCGGGAGGGAGGCCGAGGCGGGAGGATCGCTCGAGGCCGGGAGTATATACAGAAAAAACGAGCCGGGCGTGGAGGCTCACGCCTGTCGTCCCGGCTTCTACCCCGGGGAGGGAGGCCGAGGCAGGAGGCCCGCGCCCGCCGTGAGCGCTCGCCCAGTCCGAGGAGGGAAAAAAAAAAAAAAAAAAAACCCAGAAAGCAAATCAGGGGCCACGCCCGATCTCCCAGCTCAGAACCTCCCGGACCCGGTGGAGGCAGGGAGGCCGGGAGCGGCCTCCACCCAGGGAGGCCGCGCGGGTGGGGGCGGAGGGCCGGCCTCCGGACTCACCTTCCCCGTGGACCGGACGCCCTTCCAGATGCAGAAGAAGCAGATCAGCCAGACCAGGAGGAGGCAGAGGGCGAGGTCCCACTTGAGAGAGCCCAGGTGGTCGATCCCGGGCGACAGGCTGAGCACGTTGCGCCTGGAGGCCGAGCACACAGAGAGAGGCCGGTCGGGAGGCCGAGACTGGAGGCCCCGGCCTCTAACTAGCGCTCTGTTAGCTTCTGCACGTTTTTTCCCGGCCGGCGGGAGGCCCAGACTGGAGGCCCTGGCCTCTAAGGCTCCGTTAGCCTCTGCACGTTTTTTCCCGGACGGTGGGAGGCTGAGACTGGAGGCCCTGGCCTCTAAGGCTCCGAGAACCTCTGCACATTTTTCCCAGCCGGCGGGAGGCCGAGACTGGAGGCCCCAGCCTCTAAGGCTCCGTGAACCTCTGTATGTTTTTCCCGGCCAGCAAGAGGCCCAGACTGGAGGCCCGGGCCTCTAAGGCTCCGTTAGCCTCTGCACGTTATTTCCCGGCCGGCAGGAGGCCGAGACTGGAGGCCCTGGCCTCTAACTAGCGCTCCGTTAACCTCTGTATGTTTTTTCCCGGACGGCGGGAGGCCAAGACTGGAGGCCCAGGCCTCTAAGGCTCCGTGAACCTCTGCACGTTTTTTCCCGGCCGGCGGGAGGCCGAGACTGGAGGCCCTGGCCTCTAAGGCTCCGTGAACCTCTGTATGTTTTTCCCGGCCAGCAGGAGGCCCAGACTGGAGGCCCTGGCCTCTAACTAGCGCTCCGTTAACCTCTGCACGTTTTTTCCCGGACGGTGGGAGGCCCAGACTGGAGGCCTTGGCCTCTAACTAGCGCTCCGT